CCTTTAATACTTTAGCCCAATTTAGTTTTGATAAATCATTAGATGCACCCCGAAAATTTGTCCCGTTATCACTATAGATTATTCTAGGGCGTCCGCGCCTAGCAACAAATCGTCGAAGCGCCAGGAGAAACGCATCAGTAGAAAGAGAATTTACGAGTTCAAGGTGAATGGCACGGTACACAGCGCAGGTGAACAGCGCGATCCACACCTTTCCTCCATTTTTTTAAAAACAGCGGTTCCGGCCAAATCAATCCCTATGATTTCAAATGGCGCACAATCCGTAACTCGGTCTGGTGGCAGAGGTGTCGGTTCGCTTGACATAGCCTTAGTTTTAAATCTTTTACAAACGATACAGTTAAAGAGGACATTTTTAATGGCCTTTCTAGCTCTGACTATCCAAAATCTTTCTCGTCATATACATTGCAACAACTGAAGACCAGCATGACAGTTCTTATTATGCACATTTCTGATTAATAACTTAGTGAAATCACATTTTTCTGGTAACAGTATTGGGTACAGAAAAGATTCATGGTCATCTCTATTTAGTATTCTCGTTTTAACTCTTAGAATACCATCATCATCAATGAGCGTTTCAATAAAATTATAAGATTTCTTATCAGTCAGATAATAATTTTGAACCAAACGAATTAAATTTTTCTCAGAATTTTCAATTTCATACTGTGAAAGTTCAATGTTTCCATTCTTTTCAGAACCACCTTTACAATTATTTACAAATCTAAATATCCATGCAAATACTCTAATCATTTTATCATAATTGGATACACTGATTCGATGCCAAGGGGGTGCGTCTTTTGATAGATCAATATTCACTATTTTTATTTTTTTCCTCTCCAATTCTACTTCTTCATGCAGAAAAATAATCTTACCAGTGGGCCAGTTTTCAGGGCCTTCTCGCAACCACAAGGGGCCTTCCCACCATCTAGACCGAAGCATTTGCTTCGCAAAACATCCGCGCGATAACAAGTCGGCAATATTTAGTTTCCCTGGGACATGTCTCCATGAATGTCCTCGCGTCAACTCTCGAATCTCTTTAACCCTATTTTCGACGAAAACGGACCAATTTCCTTGCTCTGTTATCCACCAAAGGGCAGTGGTTGAATCAGACCAGAAGGTAACTTTTAAATCGGGAAAACTGAGAGCTTTGATAATAGAATTTGCAAGTCTAGAACCTATACAACAGGCCATTAATTCTAAGCGAGGAATGCTTAAAGATTTCAAAGGCGATACTCTAGACTTCGCCCGTACGAGATTTATTTTTACTTCAGAACTAAATATTGATCGAACAAAGACGCACGCTGCATACGCCCCCTTGCAAGCATCCACAAATACATGTAGTTCAGACGTGTCATTGATAAACAAGTATCGAGGCAAAGTAACATCTTTCAAAACATTAAGTTCTTTAAACCAGTTCCAAAATATATTTACATCATTCGGAGACAATTCATCATCCCATGCAATTTTCACTTTCCACAATTTTTGCAACAACAGTTTTGGAAGCAATGTAGTTGGCGTTAATAAACCAATAGGATCAAAAATTGTCTGCAGAATTGCCAAAATTGTCCTCTTTGTGATTTTTCGTATCACAGGTCAATGTATCTGTGTCTGTGCAGCACCTCAGCGTATCATTATCCAAATTCCAAATTACCCCCAAAACGGAAGTATCCCCTGAATGTTTGTCAACATTTGTACCAGCCACATTGCTTTCAAAACCGCGCAAGTTAAAACATCCATTTGACATGATTAATTTGGAATGTTCAATAAACGTAAACTGTTCATCAATACTAAAAACACTAGATAAACAATTATCCACATAAAATGACGATTTCAATTTTTGAGCAACTTCACTATATTGACGTGGACAGTTTTCTAATAGATGCATTATAGATGCGTTCAACAAGTAGGGGCTCGAAGAAACTCCAAACACAACTCTGCAATGCCTATAAATTAATTGCCTCTTCATTGCATGGGAAAAAAAATCTGAGAAAATCTCTATCTTTAGATGCGACGGATAACATTAAAAAAGCCTTTTCAATATCGGCACTAATACCAATCGGATACATTCTAAAACGATCTATAATATCAGGTATTAATTCAATAAGATTTATTCCTTTACACAAACATTCGTTCAAAGAGAGTTCTCCCTTTCTCAGATGCAGAAGCGTCAAAAACAGGACGAATTTTCGTGGTTTCACTTCCTAATTTGATTACAGGCCTATGCGGCAAATAATGACATTCATTATTCAGTTCGTTTTCTGGTACGCGTTCAATAATATTCAACCTTTCCCATTCCTTGAACACATTTTGATAATCATCGAAAAATTTACTACATCTGAGTTTATAGATCATCTTTTGATACCTTTTCCAGGATAATTCTTTATTATCGGTTAAATGTGTCGTATCACATTTCCACGGAAGTTCTACTTCATATCTTCCATCTGGAAGAATTTTCATTTTTGTTCTCAAATTCAGATAAATTAAAACTTTCATTCATTTTAACAGTTTCGTTTGGAGCGCATATTCCTATTTTTTCAAGTTCCCATAACTCATTCAGAGGAATTCTCCTGACATGCATTGAAAATGTTTTCAAAATATTATCCTTTTCACCCGAATTTCGTTTTCCAAATACCGTCCACCCAAGTTTCGTTTCGACAGCCGTTACCCCGGACTGTAATTCAATAGAATTTCCCGTCAATAATTTTCCTATAACATCTGCTCCGATTAAAAGGTTAATTTCAATTTCCTTTCGCAATGGATCAGAAAATTCGATTTCTTTTTCTTTTAATTCATTCAAAATCTCTTTATCTTTAACCTTAGGAATAAAAACGCAAATCTTTTTTTCCGATAATGCCTCAAAACTACATGCGAATGTTCCTCTTAAATTGCTGACCTCGACCGAAAACACTTCATGTTGTTTAGGTTTCGTCCCCCCTCCAAACAGTGCGTGTATAACTGTCTCCTCCCGAAGAGGAGATGCTTTAAGCTGACTCATCATATTTTCACTAACGTAGCTACTTTGGCTTCCGCTATCAATTATGCAGCAAATAATTTTCTCGCGACCTTGACACCGAATTCGAACGCAAAGCGTTTGCAAAAATACAGTTTCGCTCCTGCCACAGTTAGAAAGAGAACTCTCTTTTGAAACATTTATCTGATCATTATTTTTTAGCTTTTGATTACACATTACATCAAAATGATTACAACTTTTGCAAATAGAACAACTTAACTTACCTTTGAAAGGACAAAATTTACTAATGTGACTCGCTCTTTTCAGACAAGAAAAACAAGCACCTTTTTTCAACAACAATTGTTGTTTTTCAGCTAAAGTCATTTTTTTTGCAGAGTAACATTTTTCACTAAAATGTTTCTTTTCACAAAAATTACAGTTCGGAACACTCTTACCTGAATTCTCAAGACTTACTAGAGCTGATGCTGTTACGGGATCATTTTGCTTTACCTGTTCGTGGTTAAAATCTTTCTTCCGATGGTTCTGTTGGGAAGCGAAACCAGTTCTTGCGAGGAGAACCATCTCTCTTCCCCCTTAACTTCCTGTTTTTAAGAAATTCATTAAATATTTCAAAGATCGATTCCCTTTAGTTTCAATGGAGTCGTGATTTCTGCTTCTTTCCCATGCCATCAGTACTTCTTCTGGTAAGCAACTTTCCACTAAGGGGGTCAAAAAATCCCCATATTTTTCTTGGGTTCTTCCCAAACTTTCCAACGCTCGCAATTTTCCTTCTAGTTCATCATACAGGGAGGGTAGATCCGTTTTTGCTCTTCCGGTTACAGCGTTCTTCATCACTAGGCTTAACAAGTCTCTCACATAGATTTGCACAAGTAAATCTTCGCGTCCAAAGCGCTCTCTTAGTTGTTCGATGGCTTTAGGATAATTAGCTGCCGTTGCCGGGAAGCTAAGGACTAGGCGTTCTGCTTTCGATTTGGGTTCCATGGCCTGCAATAGATACTGCATTTTATCTTCATCGGCGATACTTTTGTCATCGTGGATTTTCTGGAACTGACTCCAAAAAGTCAGGTAATCTTTAGCTTCAACCCTGAATTTTTTAAGCTCAATTTTAGGCAATTTAAATTTTCTAGATTCGGAATTATTTGAAGGAGAGGAGGTTTGTATTTCCGCATCTATTTGAGCACACTGTTCTAGAAACTTATCTCGATAATTCTCCGCTTCTTGAAAATCATCACTAAATAATTTTTCTCCATCTTCAGTCTGCAAAATTTGCTGCGATATAGCACTCTGGCATACGTCAAGTCTCTGGAATTTATCACAAAGTTGACACTTCAAAATCGAAAGTATTTTTAAATCTCTTACTTCTTTAGTTAATTCACTTTCGGTTTTCCTTGAGGTTTGCGAAAACGCAATTCTAAGTCCTTTTCTTTGAGCCTTTAAAGCGATCAAATCCATCTTCAAAGTATATTCAAAATCGAAATTCAATATCAAAAGTTCAATCGGAAAATTCTAATTCAAAGCACCCGGTCCCGCCGAGGGTACCACTATGTTACGAAGAACACAGAAAATATATAAATCAAATACATTCAAAACAGTTCGTTCAGTTGCGGGCCTGCCTCTACCCGAGGCTGGGTGCATTATGAATAAAGACAAAGAATTCTTAATGATTCATTCTTTATTTCCATCAAAACAGTATCACTCATCCGAGATCAGCTTTCGTTCGTCCACACGCAAAACATTCGAAAACACTCAGCACGCAGGCTGACGTCACAAACAGCAGCGCCTCGCGCCGGTTATTACTTCAGTTCATTTCACAGCAGACACTTTATGGGACTAATAAAAATTATAGTATTATAGGCTCATAATAAAATAATGTTTACAACTATTATACACATGTATATATTATTACTTTTACATTATAGTATTATACACTTTGTACAACTGTCAGCAATTTGTAGCGCCATCTATTGATAAGCTACTGTTACCCTGCAAGAATTTTGGATTTATTATCCCTACAAGAAATCTTTTTTTCCCTATTCCAAAACGCTGTTGTGTTTTTGATTTGCAAACACTGGACATACTGTGAGTGTATAATAGAAAACCGGCTTTGTTTTCTTTCAGTTTTAAAAGTTTATCACTCGAAAAAATATATTTCAGGCTAATGGCGATTAATAGATCGGCTTTATTATGCGCGGGAGATCCTAATATTCAGCAGTATTCTAGAATGGCTGCAGATTTGGAAAAACAAGAACTTGAGGTAATTCCTCTGACATTATTTCTCAAACTGTTTTTTAGTGTCATGGCAAATTATTTTGAATTTTCATACATTTCCCCTTTAAATATATGTATACATTTCTTCCATCATACCTTGTGAGAATCACAACTGCATAATAACCATGTGTAACTCAATTTTTTATTTATTCTTATCTCATCTATTTCTATTTAATGTTTTTCTTATCTAATTCTTGGAATTTTAGGTGTGTGTATATTAAAATTATTCGGTCTTATTTTATCGACACAAAAAGAGTATTTGAAGGAAACATATTTTAATTTTTGATAATATATAAAATTTGTAAAATTTCAAACATGTAGTTCTTCTTGTTAGAAAATTGTGTGTGTTTCGAAGAAGAGTAATACAGTCACTGTCTTTTTTTTATCAGAGAAAGAATAATAATAATGAAGTAAGAAATTTAAAGGGGACAAAATGTAACTGATAATTAAGCTAGAAACTAATAAACTAAGCTCCATTAAAAAAAAAAAAAAAAAGGATAAAAAGCAAATTTTAAGAATGAAAAAATAAATGAATGTTTGTGAGAAATGTTAAAACTAAGCAATGAGGATCCATAATTTATACATATCAAGGAACATGTTGAAAAAAAGTTAAAATCAGTTTAAAACTTAACATAAAAATCCAAGAGACAAAGTATAATAAAAGAGCCTGTGAAAGTAATATGATATGATTAAAAAGTAAAATAATATCAGAAATCTTAAAACATGATAAGCAAATTAATGAAATAGAATTTTTTTTAAAACAAATCATATACTGTAAATTATTTAAGAAATGAAATGCCATTAAAAACAGGGAAAGTAAAATATTAACAAATTCAAAAAAGAAACGAGCAAAATTATTGCAATCATTGTTACAGTTAATGAAAGAGATGAATGCAAATTTTTCTTATAAAATCATTATCAGTCAAAAGTTGAATTTCTGCTTATTTTAAATTCCAGTTAATATGCTTCTCTTCATATATTCTCGGAACATATAAAAAAAGAATAAGCTATACTTTTTCAAAAAAGTCGATTCAAATCAGAGGGGTGGCTTATATATGCGAATGATTTTGAAATAGGTACATACTAACATGTGGCAGCATAGCAGTGCATTTTGTTCCAAGACAAACTCATTCATTTGAAAGGTATCCTCAGGCGTCAGGCACTACACTCATTGAGATTAAATGTGCTCTGGTTCATTATGAATTTAATTTAAATTCGCACTACTGTTTTAATTATTTGCAGCCACTGATTATATGTATCCATTCATTATGATTATTTCTAACTATGCACTGACTGTATGGCTTGTAATGTTAATCATATACTGCTAGTATTGAATACTGTGTAGTCTTATTGTACCACACACTGATTTCTACACACTGTTATTCAAAATTGTGATCTGCTCAGCCTATTGCATTGCAATATGACCACAGTACTGTACTTACTACTATATGTATTTATAACCCGATTGTACTGTAGCTCGTACTCAAGACAGTCTGCGGTGACATAACAGGTCACCAACATTATACATGCTGACTTTCTTTATTCGTAAATGTTGGTACCATGTACTTTATTATATGTATTTACTTACCGCTAATTTATATTTAACTTTCTATTGATTTTACTGTAAGCACAACCAACTATGTGCAGTCTGTTTTGAATTTTGTATCTGCTCTCACCCGATTACTATGGCACCATACTATTTGTGATTACTTACCACTAACAATTTAACTAATTACTGATTGTACGTCAGTAAAGAGCTATCTACAGGTTGTTTCGAATATTGTGTAACTCCCTGCATTTGATTACATGGTACTTTACCATATGTAATTATTTACCACTATATTTACAACTATTTTCCGATGACTGTAAGAACAAATATCCATGTACAGTTTGTTTCGAATATTGTATTTACTCTCTGCGTTTAATTTCACACAGCACTTTGCTATACGTAATTTTTACCACTTATTTATATAACCTTCTGCTGATCGTACTTTAAGCTCAAATAGCCATGTGCACATTATTTCGAATATTGTACTTACTCTCTGCATTTGATTACACATGGCACTTTATGTAATTATTTACCACTAATATATACTGATTGTACTATAAGCAATGACTAACTATGTACAGATTGTATCAAATAGTGTATTTAATCACTGTACTTAATTACACACGACACTTAGCTATATGTAAATATTTACCACTCATTTATATAACCATCTGCTGATTGTACTGCAAATGCAAATTCTGCTTCATATTCCTGTACTGCAAACGTGATATCAATTCTCGTACAACAGGAACAGAAATGTCCTTATCAAAAGACCAATATTTTTTTCTTGAGGTAAAGAATGGTATACTGTAAACAATAATATTCCAATAAATCTTCTCATATAGACTTCAGATACAATAAATTCTGGGCTTTTTTTTTTTTTTTTTTCTGAGTGTATATATTTGTTCAACGAGAAGAGAGTAAATGTCTAAATCGAAAATCTGTGCACTAGTTTTACCTTGTATTTTGTCTTTTATAATTTCTCTTCTATCTTTTTTTTCATGTTCTTCCTGAGACATAACTAACAGTTCCTTTTTTATTCACTTTAAGATCTCAGTCTTCTGCTTTTTAAACTTTTTAGTATGACTATAACTGCTTTTAGAAGGCTGAAACTTACTTCTTATGTGAATTTCAACTTCCCTAGCAGTATCATTTGGTAAAATATCATTATCATTATTTAAAACATTGCCATTCCTTTCTTCTTCGTCACTAGCCTCTGCAATTTCTGGAGGAACAACAACAATATCAGTTTCATTCTGGTCATTATTAACATTATTATCATCTGTTTCTTCATCAAAAAATCTTTGAAGGGCTTCTTCTAATGTAAGATACCTCGTTCTAGACATTTTTAAACAACCAGAATATCGAAAGAAAGGAGTGAAAAAGGAGATTGACTACCCGTTTCCTGCTGACGTTGCGTCAATGCAACACCTGTTTTCCATTCCTTCTCAACACAAATATAAACCAATAAAATAAAATGACTGATGTAATGTTCTGATAAACGGTGACCTTGACTAAAAATAGATCACTCATAAAGACGGCAATTCTTTCCTTAAATATTTTCAGCAAAAATATCCGGTCGAAAATTTTGCTTAAAGTTTGAGATTAATTATTATAAACAAAATGATTGTTGAAGGCAAATATCTTTTTACAGAAATAATCTTCATAATATTCCCTACACAAAATCATCTGCTGCTATAAAATATCTTAGGTAGTTATATTTATATACACATTTATTTTGACAGTTGCGTCAATGCAACACCAGCGGCTAATGGGTTAAAAAGATACAGTCAAAAGTCGTTAATTCGGACACCCATAATTCGGAATGATCTATAATCCGGACCTCAAAACTAAAAACTTTCTGCGCATGCGGCGCGTTGACACATGCGCATAGGCGTTTACGTGTGCGCGTAAGACCTTTTACGACTGCGCATATGAGTGTCGCAAGTGCAGAATACGTTTTCGCGTGCGCGTTTATGTATAATGGACGTATGAGCTAAAATTATCTAATTATCTTTTCAGTTAATGTTGATGATTGCGTTGTTCCTTAATTTTCGAATTGGATCCGGCTTTTATTTTTTGCAGATGTAAGAGCAATTTATAAAAGTAAGCTTAAACTTTCGATTATATCAATAGAATTTCCGATTATTTTGTTAATATGTAAAGGATCTAAAGCGAAAGTATGTTTTGAAATCCGAAATCTGTTTATCAATTTCACGCTGCTCGGCGGGGGGAACGCCGCGCGGCGGGCACGTAATGAATTGGAAGTTGATCTGTCAGCACTATCCTTATCTTCAGGGCAGATGTTTTTATTTTATTTGGCTTATAATGAAGATCAGATGTTTTTTATTTTTTTGGCTTATAATTCCTTACCAATGTGTATATTTCATCTCGATATGCTCCGTCTTTGATATGATTAAAACAAGTTCCTCGTCATTATAATTCGCTTCCGAAGCGAAAAGAAAAGTAACAGGGTTATTGAAAACGAAAAAATTCGATTGACAAATTAGTCGGTGTTCTTGACACAGCAATTATAGGACTTGAACAGCGGAACTTTGTAACTGAACAAGAAATTATGTCTGTTTAATAGAATTAAAGAGAAAGTATTATCATATGAAACGAAGCAAAACTTAAACACTTACATTGAAAGAAATGTTTATTTAAGTAAACAAATAAATATTAAGCTTTTCTTTTGCAAATTTTGATACCCTTTAGATCATAATTGTTCTTTATTTCATAAATTACGGTTTCATATTTTTAATTTTAGAATTTCTGCATGCCATCTTACAAGATTTAAACTGATGATCTATAATCCGGAAAAATCGATAATCCGGAATCGCCGAAGTCCCGACGAGTCCGGATTTTTGTTTTTAAATTTTTGTGATATTGTGTTTTTAAATTATTTGTAATTTGATATTGTAATTTTTTTTGTTAATGTTTTCTCAATAAATATTTTTCATGTAGGCTCCAGAAGGAGTTGCATCTCCTCAACTGTATGGGCAATTATTGGCCATATATTTACTTCAAAATGATCTGTAAGTATTATCTTGCAATAAAACTTTCATAACACTTAAGATTGCTTTTTCTTTTAATTCTATTTATGTCATTTTCCTATATTTTAAGACATAAAAATTAATAATTACTATACATAAAAAAAAACATGTAAACTTGTGTTAAGATTAAGTAATGTGAAATTTTGTTAAAAAATGAGTTTAAAATTGATTTGTAACTTTATATATATATACACACCTAAAATTCCCATTTTTAGTTGTAATTTTTCATTGAATTCTTTTGTTAATGGTTCATAAATGAAAAACGTAACTGAAACTTAAAAATATTAAATTACTGCTGTATAAAATGTAGAATTACATATGAATTTTAAACATTTGTCTTTTAACTATCTAGATTTAGGAGAAAATAAAATCTCACTCCAGTGTATATATAATTTTAAAACTTTAATCGTACATTTTTCATCTGTTTGTGAATTGTTTCATTAAAGGCAAAGATCAATCAAGTTATATTTGTTAGTATTAGTTACTGTTTATGTATAAAATAGATTCGAAAAGGAAGCTGTGCTCAGTTATTGTAGGTCAAGACTTCATTCAGCAGTGTCATACAATGCACTCGGGAGTAACGTAGTAGGGGAATTCTATGATGTAATTTAAACTTTCTTAAACATTAAATTTCTTAATAGTAGAAACATACGCTATTCAAGGAGACATCATAGAATTGCTGTTTATATTTTACCATTCACAGGTTTTCTAAAACATTAAGGCAAAACTTGTTGCATGGCATTATTTTGAACTAGAACAAAGCCTTTGTCCAAATTTCCGTGTCTTCATGCAGAGATGTGAGAAAAAAAAAGTTTTTCATAAAGATCTTAGTATTTTAGAAGTCAAACAACAAATCTCAGCATTATATTTGCAAATTTTCCAGGACTGGTTTCGATGGTTTAGTTACTGAACCAAGGTTTTGGTGATTGATTTCTAAAATAGCTTGTTTGGTGTATTATTTTAATCTAAACCTTCATATTTGCTTTTAAGAATTGGCAGTAATTGCTTTGCTTTTTTATGTAAACTGAGTGTAGACAACTTTATAATTAAAGAAGATGGTCCTTGTGGCCTTTCACACTAATTGGAATTTTTCCAAAAGTGCAGTGGTGTGTTTCCTTTCCTTGCACGATCTTTTTGTTTATGGAATTAAATTATGCAGATTAAGAAATGGCTGCATGTGCAGAAAACAATCTTAAGAAAAATTTAAAGAAGACAAAGGTCATCTTTTTTTTTGTGTTGAATATCAGTAGGTGATGGGCCCATTGTGAATATAATTTCTGATGATCAAAATTGATTCAAACAGTTTAATGAGCAATGTTGAGATGTCCAACTCTTGAGAAATTTCTGGGATGAGTTTGATATGTTATTGTCTTTTGTGATCAGTATTGATGATCTTCCTGTTGATCAACAACCCAGAAATTTCGTATGGTCGTATTTGAGCTATTAGCAACACTTAATGTATTAATGTTAGGACACAATATTACATCTGTGGCATATCTTATTATTTCATGTCAAACTTCAGATAATTTAAATATTCTATCTATAAATACTATTCTATCTTTGTTCTTCATACTTTAACTTTGCAGTAGTAAGTTGCCAGATGCTATATCATTTTGCAAATGTGCTATGATGAACTTTTTCCTGCTACTTCAACAAAACTATCTTTGTAGGAAGCAGTGCACATGAATTTTTTATGCTAAAACGATCTTGAGTAATTCTGTCAAGCATTAGTAACAGCTGCAATTCAGTTTTTGAATTCTCATGTTTTGTTCATTTACTTGCATTTCATGACTAATTATCAGTTGGTTCTGTCAATTATTTTTCTAGCAATTTGTTCAATGTTGTTTTTCTGCATACTTCTCAGAGGAAATTTAAATACGTAGTAGGGGAATGAGCAAATAATGTCTTCTTTGTAAATCCTTATTAAAAATAAAATCAGTAGGTGTGACTTATAGATGGCCCCATAATATTATATCAAATTTTTTAGGCTATTAGAAAAATTGTATTTTAGCTGCATCAGTTAACTATAAGAATGTTGTCGTTAGGATGCAAAAAGTATGTTTCCATACTACCTACCAGCAACTTAAGTATGAAATCCCAAAATCGGAAACATTTTCTGTTTACCATTTCTACAGTTAGCTAATTTAATTTAAATATATCCAACTATAAATCAGAAAGCTTGATGTTATTAGAAAAGAAATAAAAGTAATTGTAATACACACATTTAAATTTTAATAATGTTATTTAATTATTAATGGTAATTTTTTTATGTCCATAATGTATAGAAATTAAATAATCTTTCAATATGAGTTATTTGATAGAGAAAAGATTAAATCTTAATGCATGTTATTTAATTTTTAATAATTATTATTCTTATATTTAGAGTTTTTTAAAATTTAAATAACAATGCTTTCAAAATATAAGTATATTTCATTTCATAGTCATTAATAGTGATAATTTCAAAAATCCTATTATTTTAGGATGCACTATGAAATATTTATGTTTATCTAAATATAGATATATTTCATCTGTATTATCATTCAAGTCTTTTTTTTTTTTTCCCTTTGCAGTCCAAATGCAAAATATTTATGGAAACGAATTCCACGTAATATTAAAGAAGTAAGTAAATAATTTGCTTTTACTGTATAGATGTTTTCCATTAGTAATATGACATCAGAAAGACTGTACGGTAGAAAGTCCGAAATCTGGACGTCTATTATCCGGAATGATCTAAAATCCAGACCTCAAAGCCACAAGCACTTTTATTTATATTAATGCTTTATGCATGCGCATTTGATTTTTCCTCCCATAATAAAGCATGTGGACATTTTCACTTAAAAATTCCGATTCTTAATTTCAATTAGGCACTAAATAAAATACCTTGTTATGGAAAAACAATCATGTAAGCATACATTTGTGACATTAATAATTTGTCTCCGTAGCTGAATATCTACTTGGCATACATTTCAAACAGAAAAATTCACCTATTTTATATCTCTGACGCTGACCTGGCGAGTCATTATTTATTATATTTTGCTTTCATCACCGTATGTTTATCAATACATGACAGTTTCAGTAATAACTCATGCTGTGATGTCTAAACTTTTTTTTATATTAGTAATTGAATGACAAGAGTATGGCAACCTTTTATGCTAACATTACGCTTGGCGATGATAATAGATTTAGCCTAGATAAAGCCTTAAGTATATGTGGGTGTTTATTTATTCAGGACTCGGATTTATAATTTTTTAACTGTTTTTTATAGATCTTCTAGTCCTTCGAAGAAATATTCACAGCTGAACATTAATTTTTATCTTCAAATGTTAATAGTTTTGAACACAGGTTAGACATTTAATGTTTCTACCAATTCCCAAACCTTGATCATAATGCTTTTATGCTTATTATCCTTGTAATAAGTCAGGTACTTTCTCATATAAAAATCAAATTCATTCTAAGACACCGTGTTTGAGCGATTGAAGTAATTTGCTCAAACTGACTTGGAAGAGACTATCATATGAAATAACCAGTGAAGTGAGAAACTTGTAATCTGATACCCAATGTGTTAGGTTGAAATATCAATCTGAGTCTCATGAATATTGCCTGTGTCGAATCTTGAATACTTTCACAGGCTCGAGTCTAGCTTTTCTTCTTGTGACAGAAATCAGTTTAGCAGTTAAACCTTCAAGCCAACCATAGAAACCTTGCACATATTTACTAATCCCCCTGAAAATATTGACATTTTCAAGATTCTAAATACAGTACAAAGTCCATAATTAGGAATCATTGGAACCTCAGCCATTCCGGATTTTAGATCATCAGTTTAAATCTAGTAAGATGACTTTTAGACATGGCAATATTAGGGCTGCCTTTGTTGTTTAGGTCAAATAGAAAAATAACTCCACACAACCACTAAAAGGCCAAAAACATGATCCTGGCAAACTTTAGTACAACCTGTCAGTCAGTGTACTTTCATTGGCCATGGTATCACTTCCCTAACTGGAAGGTTTTTGAATGTGACTGCAGGAATGTCAGCTAGTCTGAAGAATAGTTGCATTTATGGTGCATACGTTTTCTTTTGTTGAGAAAGTAGGTGTTTGAATTAATATTCTCCTTTCTTAAATTTGTTTTTAAATTTTATTTTGTTTCATTTTTTTCCAGTTGGTGGTACATAGGTCTGATCATTTCAGTTGTCAGACATTCAGATTTTGGACTTTTTTTTCTGTAGAAATATTGTATCAATAAATAATTTAGCAGCATTTTTCAATGTTTAAGTAATGATAGCACTATAAATATTCACGTTCTACTTTTCAAATCCAAAGTCTTTTCTTTGCTTTTCATCTTGGCACCATTATCATATTCCTGATCTCCTTAATAAAGCTAAAAATTCTTCTAGTAAAATATAAAACAGATTTTAAAAAAATGCTGTTTGTTTTTGGACTGTAAAGTCTTTGGTTTCCAGAAACTCTGTAAAACCTTCTACGGGTGTCCGAGTGTTTCAACATATCTTACTGTCATAAAAATATATTCCTTACAGCTTATTATAATTATTTCTTTTTTAAAAGAACAGAAATGCACATTAATGTGAATCATTTCATAGCAAAATAAAATTAACAGGGGTACTAATTGAGCCCATTCTGGATACAAACATTTGTGAAACACATAACTTAAAACCAATTCCAAAAAACAAAATAAAACTCCTCCTGTTGCCACACACTACAAACTAAATATAATTTAAGACTGCGAGATCTGATATTCTCCCACCTGAAGTTGGTAGAAGATAACTCTACAACGAAACAGTATGCAATATTTTTGAAAAAGAAAGAAACAAGATACATTTTCTATTCAAAATTTCAAGATTTTTATGAATGAAAGTGTAACTTTATAAAGTTCAGGAGGTGAAGCAAGGTTTTATGAGTCCAAATTAAGAGGATGTTTAACAACCTTCCCATTTCTTATTTTTAAAGCAACAGATGTTGTTTTATTGCAAAGTTTTACTGGAAACTTTGTTGTTAGCATTTTCATACTTTGTTTTCTTTTTGCAATCTTTAAACCAGGATGAGGAAACTTCTAGTGGAAAAAAAATCTCTGTACTGATTGTAAGAGTTCTCCCTTAGGTATTTGTCAATGAACTAGCCTCATTAACACAATCTTTTCTGGGTAACATTACAATAAGAGACCTAAAAGCCAGTTAGTACATTTTACATTATCTCAGCCAGTAAGCACAACTTCACCAGGTTAAATTTTCATCCCTGTTTCCTTTAGTTATTTCTTTGAATCAAGAGACTCTGGTATTTGAACCCGAATCTTTTTCAGATATCCATAATCAGTCATTGCAATATCCAATTCTTTTGTTAAAAATATCTAGTTGCTTGAACTCTTGTAGGATGCACAACTTGTGCAACACTTGTAGGATATCAGTTAAAATATTTTTAAAAAGCAACATATTTTTGTTTACCAATAATTTATGATTGTATTTATTTTAGTATTTTTGGTGTTGTGAAAGAGATTATGAACTTTTGCATGCTTAAGGCAAACTTTATTGTTTTTTTATTATTTTATTTTTATTTATTGTCTTTTCTCTGCAGGAAAATCCAGAGTTAGGTAAAATCTGGGTTGTAGGACAAAAACTTTGGCAGTGTCATTCAAGTGTGTATGTTGCTCTTGAAGAAGATTGGCCAGATCATGTAAAACCTATACTTTCAGCAATTGTGGGCAAGTATCATTTATCACAATAAAAAATGTCTTTGTGAAGGAAAATTATGTAATCAGTGCTGAATTTTGTTCTGTAAGAGACATAAATCTGAAAATATACTTAATGAAATTTTTGCATAAATCCTTCTTATTTTTATGAATTTCCATGATAGTAGCAAATTCATTCAAATATGTCTTTTTACATTTTTATTGACTTTTGATCATCCTGTGTGTAGTTTCATAAAATGGGAATGTAAAAAATAATTTGGTAGAATTTAATTTTCTAACCATAGAGCTGAAGTACTTGCATTTCAAAATTAAAATTTCTAAGGGAGTTTTATTTCATGCTGTAGAAAATCTACTTATTCATACATTTTTTGGCAATAACAGAAATTATTCATTTTGTGGCATGATGAGTTGTTAAAAGAGTTAGTGAAGCAATAAAAGTTCTCTCTTGCTGCAGACTGATAGATGTAACTGCTTTTACTGCAAGTTAAGATTTTTTCTAAACAATGCCAGTTGTGATATCTTCAAATTTATTTAATAATTATAGTAAAATTAATAGTAATTAATTTATTTATAAAAATGTAAGCTTAATTTGGGAAAAATATATTTCAGGGTACCCCTTGGCGAAAATCGGCTTCATTCCTGTTTACATACAATACCCTTCCCAGTAAAATGATGTCCAAAGCATAATTCAGTAGAACATAATTAAAACAAAAAATATATAATTTTAATAAACTGCATTGTAGTCAGACAAGGAAATAACATAAGAATGGAAATACATGTTATCTAACCTACGCAGTACAAAAAAGAAATATTACCTTACCTTATTTAGAAATTTTTGTGTCTTCGGTATATGACAAACAGAATTCCTTAACAGCATCCAAAAACTGTCTAAAATTATCTGAACTAAAAATCTGTGTACTTCCGTCGCCACATAAATTCACAAAAATAAGAATAAAAATTATCCTCCATAGTATTGGACAAAGCCATCTGAACGATCTTTACGTCCGACCATACGCATTTCCTCCATACGAACAGGATGCTTATAATGATTACTTTAAGTAATCACTGTAAGTAGTTTACTGTTATGAGTAAACCTTCACTTACACACCAGTCAGTTAATGCTTTTTCCCATTCGTTCCAAATCGTACAGAAATTTCAGATAAATCTTATCACAGGCAGCCATTTTATGATGTAAAGTGCAAAATAAGCAACATATACCCTAAGTGACATCCAACACAGAAATAAACCATGAGAAATCAAAATCACTGTGATCACTCATTACAACCAATCATGTCATAGTAGGGTTTCCGAAATGTACACTGTAAAATATTCAGGTTACCGTAAATGAAACAACTTGGTGATTATCCAAGGGTAACCCTAAAATATAGACTACCCTTAAATTCTATTCTGAATCATGTGTTAATTCCTCCTTAATTTTATTAGATTTCTCATGCTATTCTGTAGATTGTTAGTATATGCAGCAATGAAATCAAGAGAGGCAAATTTATTACAAATAATTTTTTTTTAAATTTTCTTTGCTTTTGTCATATGTTATCCAGCATATAATTGGGCATAAATACAAATTAAAATATATTTTTCAGACATAACCAGAAGTCGAGCTTTACGATTGATTGCAAAAGCATATTCTTCTATAAGTGTTGAAAAAGTAGCTTCTTTCCTTGGAATGAGTGAAGAAGATTGTGTAGAAGGTAATTGTTTACTATTACTGGATTTTATTAGTATTTAAATATGCATATTTTGTTATTTTTTACAATAATTAAATAATGTTGATATTTATAAAACTTTTAAGAGTAATAAAAGCTAATTGCTTTTATATAGAGGATGCATCAAAATTGAGTTGTAGGCTAATATAAAAGAAAAGCCCTTATAAGCATATTTTAGGAAACAGTTCACAAATTATGGTTTGAGGGACGACTGGTACATATGTATCATATAAAATTTTGAGGTCTGCCATGTATCCGAATTTATATGGGAGATTCACAGTCTTTGACTGCATTCTACATCCTGATTTAATATATATTTTGCTGTACTGATTTATAATATATTTTGTTGTTCCTGATTTAGTGTATTTCTATTATTCCAGAATTTCTCATAAATTTTATTATTTAATTGGAATATTTGTACAAATTTTGATTTCATTTTTATGTAACCATCAGTCAGTGATTGAAATCAGACACCATTGAAACTAATTATTACTGAGGTTTGTGAAAGGGCATTTCTGTTTATCTTTTTTAACTAGCAACATTTCGAGTCTCGGTAAAAAACTGCACCCCAGGGTCTTCAAAACTCATTGTGGCAGAGCACATTCTAGGAAAAAACTGTCTATTGCATCTGATATCTTTTAATGGGATAGGTTTCTAACATTTTATATGCCAACATATCCTCTGTTTCTTGTAATAATTATAATGGAGGCTACAGTCCCTTAAAATCTCCTGAGTTTTCTTTAATATACTTTATTTCATAGTTATTTTTTCTGCTCATTAAAATTTACTCAGCAAATTTCAGTTTTATTTCCTTTATCTGCTACCAGTCATGGAGAATTTTTAAAAAATTCAGAATGTTATGTGTTATTCTGAACATTTGTATCTCCAAATTGCCATCTAATTCTGGAAATCTTAGTATTTAAATTTTATACTATGTGCTATATTCAAATTTGTTAAATATTTCAAGTTTTTATTTTTTCTTTTTCTTTATTGTCTCTTTCTCTTTTTTTTTAAAGTGAGATTCTTTCCAATTTATTTGTATCTCCCCTCTCCCTTCAAAAAAGAATCTGTACACTTTTTTCTTTTGATCTATATTGAAGGACTTATTAAGTATATGGTATAATACTGAATTATTAAACAATTAATTGCCTCAATAACTATGTTAAATTATTCTAATTCATGTGTAATTCATGTCATACCTTTTGATAATTTAGTGATCAGATTGATTTTTAAAATGGGTAAATGAAATCATGGAGTAGAGGTTTATTGCTTGTAATTAAAATTATTAAATCAGTTTTTGGCAAGGGCAAAGAATAGGCATCTTTTGTTGACCATGTGAAATTAATTTAGAAAAGTTGATTACTAAATTAGCAATCAAATGGTAATTTAACTTAAATCCGTTTCTTAGTAGTATAACATTTTTCTGTGAAAAGTGTGTTAACAAGTGTCAAAAATTAGTAATGACATTCAGTGTAATGCGTATATAGTAGAACCCACTCAGCCTCTCAAGTATAAACAGTAAAATTCTCAGTATAGCCAGAACACCATAATTCTTAGTCTGGTAGGGTTAACAGCTAAATAGAATTCAAGGAATACTAACTAAACAAAAGACTCACGTTGAGTTTTAATTCTGAAACACAATTACAAAACATTACACTGAAGGTTACAAACTTATAAGGACTAAACATTGAAGTTACAAAATAACTCTCGAGGCAGAACACAATGTTTAGTACTTGACTCCGGTACACTGACTGAAAGGCTATTGTCTTTCAGACCGCTATTCCCTCCGGCTGCTAGGTGGTGCACTTGAGAGCTGTGGCATTACAGAATTCCCCTCTGGCTCATACAATGTCTCGGCGCCAGAGGGGAATTCTGTGTAAGGGGTGGACCAATCTTGTAATCGGATACTTCTCCTTGAATCAGTTTGATATTCTGCTTGATATTCTTGATGAAGAATCACACAGCGATCATCGTTTTATTTTGATTGATATTACAAGAATTGAAATTTTGAGTTCTCATGACTATGTTATTTCGGCTGATAGCAGGCGAAGGCGAATTCGCTCCTTTTGTAATAAACTGAAAAAGAAATTAAGAAATTCGAATATCTTCTCGGAAATATTGACTCTAAAAAAGACTTAAATAACTTTGTTTTTGATTTGGAAGAGTTTTTGACTTCAAATATGAAAAAACTTTTAAAATCTAGGAAGAAAAATAAATCTTTAGCCACTTGGTGGAATGACGGACTGGCTCGTACTCGTAGGAGAGTCCGTGCTCTGAGGTCCAGATCTCAGGTCAGGGACCTTGATTATGATGAAAGAATGAAGAGAAAAATTGAATGCAAGAGGGAACTTGCATTATACAGAAAACTAATTTGTAAATCTAAATGGGAGTTTAAATACATTCAATTCCAAAAAATTAAAAATTATCATGACAAACCTTTTAGAAATGCTACTAATAAGAGTAAAAAAAAATATTTTTACTCGGCAAGTGATTTTTTTGAATCCTCAGCATTATTACAAAAATATATTGGATAATGCTCTTGATTTTGGTTTTTGTGATGACACAATTTACTTTGATGATTATCCTGGCTATGAGGAAAAACAGTTCACCAGGTCCGAACTCGTTTCTGTTATTTCCGCGATTCGATTAAGGAGTGCACCGGGTCTCGACGGGATCACCCCAACTTTTCTTAAAATATATTTGATTTCTGCCCTGGATTTCTTTTAACACTGTTTAATAAATGTTTAGAATTACATACATTTCCTAACGCTTGGAAAATGGCTAAGATTATCTTGATACCGAAGGAAGAGAATCGTTTCGACCAATTTGTTTACTGAAAGTTTTTGCTAAAACTCTTGATAAGTTGATTACAAAAAGGATTTATCACCATTTATTTATCAATAACTTAATTTCAGAAAGACAGTTTGGTTTTGTCCCTGGTAGGTCAGCAGAGTATGCTCTCTACCGGGTGGTTGATTTTATAAGATATAATAAACCTAATTTGCATGTCGCGGTGGTCTCCGTCAATATTTCCGGTGCCTTTGACATTGTTTCTTGGCCTTCTCTTCTGTGCTCCTTGTGTAATATTGGTATTAGCTCAAATAGTTTCGGACTCATTAGGGATTTTTTCAATGATAGGATTATAATCTATAAACCAAATAACATGATTGAAATTAAAAGAAGTATCTTCAAGGGTTGTCCACAAGGATCTTGTAGTGCTCCTCTGTTCTGGGGCCTAGTTGATAAATTTTTAAAGACAGAATTTGATTTGGGGGTCGACGTAATTGCTTATGCGGACGATTCGGTTTTCCTAATTACAGCTAAATCATTAGAAAAAGTTGAAATTAAATTTAATAACACTATGAAAATTTTTAATCAATGGTACTCTGAGGAGCAAATAAAATCAAATGCTGCCAAAACTAAATTTTTATTTTTTCCTAAGTCTGGTCGCCACATTCGACCCCCTAGATTAAGATTTAACGATAAAATTTTTAAAATCAATGAAGAATAAAAATATTTAGGTGCTTATTTGGATTCAAAACTCAGTTTTAGTTATCATCTTAATTATATCCAAAAACAAACTGATTTAATTTTAAATTTTTACAAAAGAAATTACCCATCCAAATATTTTGAGACTTCTTTATAATAATGTTTTTATACCCATTGTTATGTATGGAATTACGGCTTGGGGTCGCAGAGTGGGGGGAGTTACTACACTTACGTATGAAACTCAATTCCATTCAGTGGAGCTGGCTTCTCGCACTCACCCATTGTTTCAACACAGTCTCGAGTGAGGCTCTTTGCGTCCTGGCGGGCACTCCGCCTCTCTCGATAATCTACAAGTTTTATTATGATAAAGCTATATTATGAAACAATACAGACTTATTTAACTATGAAGAAATCCCAGTTTTTGCTGGCTCACTTTCTGTCTTTAATTTACATCTGATCCATCCGGCAAACCGTATTTCTATCAACTATAATATTTATGATCCTTTTTTAATGGAATACCAAATTTTTACTGATGGATCGGGTTATGAGGGCAGGGTGGGCTCGGCTTTTGTTGTATATTATTTTGATACTGAGACCTATCACTATAAATTGAGCGTTGAAAAATATAACTCTGTTTATCAAGCCGAGCTTATCGTCGTCCTCTATGCCCTTAAATGGATATTGAAAAGTAATTTTGCAAGAAATTCTAACTTTTATATTTTTACAGATTGCATGTCTTGTTTAAATGCATTTTATAATGCAGAAAATAATAATGGTCTGATTATCGATATTAAAGATCTTTACCAAAAACTATCCATATCCTTTAATATTAAGTTTGGTTGGGTTAAAGCCCATATCGGAATGTACGGTAATGAGAGAGCGCATGTGCTCGCAAAAGAAGCTGCCATAGGGAGTGTTTTGGAGATGCCCTATGTTCAGGGTTAAAAAAAAAATAGCAGCTAAAGTTATTTATTCGTATTATTTTAAGCAATGGCAGTTACAATGGAATTCTTCTGAAAGGAAAAGTCGCTATTTGAAACATTTAGAACTGATTAGGGAAAAAAAAAAAAAAATATCTTTAATGAATTTGAAGTTAACCAGTTTCTGACCGGACATGGGCATTTCCCGAGATACTTCGTTAGGTTTAAGATACAGAACGATGATAAATGTAAACTATGTGGTCTGTTTGGTGATGCTAAGCGTTTCCTCAAGGTTTGTCTCTACTTTGATAGCTTAAGAAGCAGTAAAAATAGTGATTTTGAAAATCCCTTTTTGTACTATAAAGATTTCGCACAATTATGTAAATCTGTGATGAAATTTATATGGTATTTGCATTTTATTGCCATCACTATTTGGTCTATTTTACTAATTTTTTGTTACCATTGTTTGTGTTTGTCTGTTCGTTTTTTTTTTTTTTTTTGGGTTGTTTGTTTTGTTTTGTTTTTGTCTTTGGTGTCTGCTCTTGTCTAAATGTTTGTAATTGTTCTTTTTCTTCA